CTTGCTCCCCCTCCCTCCCGCACTCCCTCCCCGGCGGCCGCGGCCTTTATTAGGGATTCCGCGGCTGTCGGTCCCGCCATCCATCCTGTCCGCCGGCAATTAGGCGGCCAGACAAAGAGCAGCTTCGGATGGATGAGGGTCCCGGCGGATCGGAAATGTGAAGGGTCAGCGCTGCCGCCCGCGGCGCACCCCGCTCCCCCTTTCGCATAATCACCGGCCGCCCGTCACTCAGCCGGCCTCCCGGGGAGCTCCGGGGCCCGGCCCAGGAGAGGGCGGTGCTGGGACTGCAGCCTAGGCGCAGAGGGCTGAGAGAGGTCGGGCCAGCAGCAGGTGCACCTCCTGCGGGGGAGCAGAGTTCTGTGGCCTCCGGCGCCTGGAGAAGGGAGAGGGCGGGGTGACCGCCCGGGGCGTTCCCTGAAGGGGTCTAGGGACTGCAAGCCCGGGTGGGGACTCTAGCCGCAGAGAGGAGGATGACGGCTCAGGGCGCCCCCTGCTGGCAGACGGCGGGAGATGCCTTAGGCTCGCCAGTCCGTACAGGTAGAACTGTACCCAGGGCGGACACCTCTTAGGAAAACTGAGGGTCACTAGCCTGGCGCGCCTCCTATCGGAAAAGAAAGACGTTGCGCTTCCTTTTCCTGCAGTCCTGAGCGAAATCCAACCCATCCGCATCAATTAAGAGAGCAAGTTCAAGGAGTCCAGGTTTCACAGCGGATTGTTTGGCGCCGGCTCCTGGCTGACAAATCAACATCTCAATCTGACAATTAGTGGTCGAGCTGGGTGGTGGGGAGAGGGGCTCTCGCAGTCCCGGCCGCTTAGCCCTCCCAGCGGGAGGCAGAGAGGTGGGCGGTGCTGGCAGTGATGAACGACTTGGGGGGCGGGGGGCGGCCCCAAGCGCGCATTCATTACTCGGCTGACAGTCGGGCGGCGGGCCTGGCGGGCGGCGGGTTGGACGTGCCGAAGGAGGCCTGCGGCAGGAGGGGGCCCAGGGACGCGCTCAACAGTCCCCACCGCTCGGTCGGCTCCGAACCTTCCCTCGATCGTTCCTTGGCTTGTTTGAGCTCTGCCTCTCCGGTTGTTGGAGCCGACTCTGGTGTCAGAATTTGGGAAGGAAGGAAGTCGGGAAACTAGGCTCTCGCCTTGGGTTAAAGCGATTTAAGGTGTCAAGGAAGGGTGTGGGACCCTGGCGCTTCGGCCCGAGCGGAGGAGCTGTGCAAGGAGTGGGCTCGGTCGGAGCTGCTGGTGACAGGGATTGATGGCGCGACTGGCGCGTGGGGGATAAGTGACTGTGTGTGTCAGGGCCAGGAATGTATCGGCGGGATTTTGTCAGTGGAGGTGTGAGAGCTTGGCGAGTCCGAGGGTGAGCCCTCCCCTCCCCACCCCCCGCAGCTTGCTGTCAGTTCCTCCTCCAGTTTTGGAGGAAATGACAGCAGCGGCCGGTGACAGCCAAGGAGTGTTGCTGGTTGTGTGTGTGCGTGTGTGTGTGTGTGTGCACATATGTTAACCGTGAGAGCGCTGGGCAGGACCACGGCTCTCTTCCACCAGCTCTGCCACAAAAACCCATCCCTTCCCCAAGCATAGTGAAAGTAGTGGGTGCTTCTCTCCACTATGAGTTCGGGAAACTGATTCCTACCTGGGCTTCTATAGCCCTGCCATACACATGTACTCCATCTCATCTAAGACGCGCCCCCCCCATCTCTGGCGGTTGCTGGGGGTCAGAAGGAGGAGGTGTACTCTAGACAGACCCCTGTGTGTTGCTCAGCACGGGAGGGGCAGACTCTCTCCCCTCCAAGAGAGTCCATCTTTGGGGCTCCCAGGAGTGGATCTCAGGTACAGCTGCTTGCTAGCTAACACAATGAAAATGTGTACCTGATGACTAATCTCCCTAACAGCTCTCTTTCTTCACCTGGACATCACTACTTTCTTCTCCTGTTCTCACAGTCACCAAGAAGTTGTGCTGAATCTTCAGACTGCAAAGCAAAGCCGTGGGGGCGAGGCTAGGAGGGGGAGCTGCCAGCCTCCTGCTTTGTTCAAGGAATCTTTAAGGCCTTTGCCTTTGCCTTGTTCTTCCCGAGGGCTGGCGACTTGCCTATCTTCTAGGCCCGCCCCTCTTTGTGTCGGTATGTTTCCATATTTAAGGATCTCTCCCAAAATTGGGGAGTTTTTTTAAAATCTTCTAGGGACTCCTCCCTCTGGGCATTCCCCCAGCACAGTAGTGAGACCCCCACCTCTTCCCAGGAGACTGTGTGTGGTGTGTGGGGAGGGGTGGGCTTCCTTTCTCCATCCAGAGAACGTCAGGATGGTCACGCCGTGTCAGGGCCAGGGGCGCGCCGGGGTCGCTTCTCATTCCGGGCACAGGCGCCGGGTCGATGCCCCGCTGTCCGTCCCTGGTCCAAACCGCCCTCCTCCCGGCCCCCGCTCCCTCCGCCCGCCTGGAAAAGGCAAATTTGACATTTTTAAATCCCGAGCCTTAGAGGGATCGATGCGGCCCGGGGGCCCCGCCCGGGGGTCGATATTCCTGATTGGGAAGCGGCCGCTGAGCGGAGCCCGTGTGTAAATCACCCGGCTGGGGGAGGGGGGGCGCAGGGAGCCCTGCGCGGCCCAGGCGCACAGAGCCCGGCCGGGTCGAGGCCCGGGCTGGTCCTCGGGACCGCGGAATGAGGACGCCAGGGCTTAGAGGACGAGAGAGAAGCCCACCCAGGCTCTCTGCCCCCACCCCCCCTCCCGCGTCTCTCAAGCCTTGCCAACTCCCCGGGACCGCTCTGGTCTCGCTTCAGCGCCCGCCACCCTTCGTTGCCCCTGGAGCCGCCGGGGAGGCCGGAGTCGGAGCCAGCCATGCGGCGGCTCCTCTCCGGCCGCTCCCGCGGGGCCCGGGCTTCGGCTGCGGCTGTCACGGAGCCGACAGGCTGGGCCGGCGAGGGCGGGGGCGGCGGCGGGCGGGGTGGGGGGCTGGTGCGGCTCGCGCTCAGTGCGCGCGCAACAGATGTTTTGCGGGGTTGGAGGGCCAACCAGGTGACCCGGGGATGCCAAGGGCGCGGGGCGACCCAGACCCTCGGGGATCGCTGCAGCACCAGAATAGACCTCCCCTACCCAGTCAGGGAGACTCGGGTAGTAGGAGCAAGAAAGGGGGCTGGGGCGGGCGCGCAAGTTTGGGCAGCCCTGGGCCTCCATTCTGTGAGGCACTGTGCTTGGGAAACAGAGGCAGCCAAGGCTGGGAAGGGCCAAGAAAGATAAAAGAGGGGTCAGCGACCAGGATTCCTGCGTAGGTTTCTGGATTCGGCGGGTCGCCGGGACGCCGGGTGCGGGTACAGGCGTCCCCTCGCCCCCGCCGCGTCTTCCACCAGCCTCTCCCGCTTGAGCGCGTCAGGTGCTCCCACCTCCCACCCCCACCCCGCGCTAGTTTATAGAGAACAACAATTTGGGGAAAACAATCCGGGCCGAGTGACGGCCCCGTAATTGTGACAAAGTGAGTGCGGGCGGCTGGAGAGAGCGCAGGGGCGGGCGCGCCGCGGGGCGAGGCGCGCACAGGGGCGCCGCCGCCCCCTCGTTCTCATTCCGCTCACTCGCGTCCCTCTCCCCCACTCGCCTCCTGGCCCCTCGCTTGTTCCTCCATCGCTCTTCCCTTTTCTCTCGGTTACCGCTCTCCTCCGTCCCCCCACTCCGACCCCTCCCCAGGGACTCCCTTTCCTAGCGCTCTCTCTCTCTCTCTCTCTCTCTCCACCGTACTCGGGCCCCTTTCTTTCCCCGCAAGACTTGGCGTGTCCCCCTCCCGGGGTTCTGACTCCAGGACGTCGCGCCCTGAGCTCCCTTCCCGACTGGTGTGTGTGTGGGGGGGGGATCCCGGACCGCAGAGCCACAGCGGCGGCCTCGGGGGTCCCAGTAGGCCCCCGCCCGCGGCTCCCACGCCGCCCCCCCCCCCCCCGCCCGGCTCCCGCTCCCGCTCCCGGAGCGAGTGTTTGTCCAGCGGCCGCCGCCACCGCCCGCGCTGTTTGCCTAGCTTAGCGCGTCGCGGCGCAGTGCGGGCCCAATTAAGTCTCATTCATTATTCAGCGCCCAGGTCCGTCCCCGCCCCCAGCCGATGGCTCGGGCGGCTCCCAGCCGCGGCTCCCGGCCGAGGCCGCTCGCTGGACCCCAGGGGTGAGGACTGCAGGGATGAGGACTGCGAGGCAGGGGTTTGGAGGGAAACAGAACCCTCTTGCCTGCCGTAGGGAGGCGACCCCGGCACACCCGCCGGGCCCACCCAGTTCCCCCAGGTCAAGACTGGGAGGCTTCAAGCCTCCTCCATCCCAGGGAAGCGACCCGAGGCACAGGAAGCTGGGTGACTTGGCCAAGGCACGCATCGGATGTCGGGGGCTTGGGAATGGAGGCCTGTGGCACTTCAGCCGCATTCCCGCAGGATCCTCCTCCACCACTACCACCCTCCTCGTGGTCTCCCCCTCGGTGGGCCGCTCCACTCTGTCTTCCACCTGTCAGTCCGTGTCTGCCTCTCGCTCTCAGCGCGGGGTGGAGCAGCCTGAGGACTCCCAGCGTCGAGGCTCAGGCTCGGATCTAGAAAGAGATGACCCTGGTTGAGGCCTGGAGTCCGGGCAGTGAGGCACACATGGGGCGGAGGTCCTCTGCAGCTTGTCCGTCGCTAACTGCTTGGAAGAGCTGGTGGAACCTTCCAAAGTGTATGTGCAGCCTGCGGGGAGGGCGGAATCGCCCTCTCATTTGTGGTAAGAAGGGGCAATCAGGGCCTAGTTTTGCATTTTTAGGAGATTTTTTTTTTTTTTTAAGTAGTGGTAGTACAGAGCGGACAGCCGTGGGCTGCAGGGCCTAGCGTGGTGGCAAGGTGAGTCCCGGGACGCGCCCAGCCGCAGACAGTAGCGCCACCTGGCGGCCATAGCGTTGCGGTGCGGGGGCGCGCTCGGCCTGGGAGTGGGCTCCGCGCCAGCCCCCAGCGGGAGCCGGGGCAGCGGTCTCCGCGGTTGGCCGGAGAGCGCGGGCCGCAGGAGCGCCCGGGGCGCGAAGGTGATTCCCGTAGGGGGAGGGCCTCGAGGAAGGGCCTGGCCCGGGCGGCCCGACTTCCGCGATACAGCTGACACAGAAAGACAAAGTCCATTTGGGTGGACGTGGCAGTGGCGTGAGAGGGGCCATTTTGAGTGTGTGGCGCGACGGAGCTGGTGGCGGTGTGGCCAGGTACGGCTGCTCCGCCTGGACTGCGGTCCTGGGCTGGTGGTCCCGGCTGGTGGTCGCAGAGGCGGAGGCTGGCAGGCGCACCTGGGCAGTAGGTATGAGGCTTTGTGTGGAGAAGCCTGCCTGGGGAGGAGGTGGTTGCCGGGGCCCAGGGTGGCTTCCAGAACGTTTGTGTGCAAGCAGTTCAGGCTCTATTTGACATTTGACTTGCGGGGAAACTGCGTGCTCTGGAGAGTTGTGGAGGCTGGAACAAGGCTTAAATCCTGGGCCAGGTATGTCTGAGGCTGCGATGATGGGAACTCACCTGGGGCGGGACCTTTCACACTCTGTTCAGCCCCTCCTCTCCGCCTCCCAGCCCCTCTGAGATTTAAGTTTCTGCCCTTTTATTTATTGAGTTCTCAGTTTGTCAAATGAAAGCATTGATCCTGATTCCATCTGCCTGCCAATGCAGACCTTGGTAGGTGAGACCCGGATTGCATTCCAGGCTTCAGCCTAGCCCAGTCCCAGCCACTGCAGGCTTTCGGGGAGTGAACCAGCAGATAGAAGTGTGCTCGCTCGCTCTCTCTCTCTCTCCCTCAAATAAATGAATGGACAAATTTTAAAAATTTATTTATTTATTCGAAAGAGTTATAGAGAGGCAGAGAGAGAGAGTTTTCCATCTGCTGGTTCACTCCCCAAATGGCCTCAATGGCTGGAGCTGGGCTGATCAGAAGCCAGGAGCTTCTTCTGGGTCTCCCACACGGGTGCAGGGGCCCTAGCACTTGGGCCATCTTCTACTGCTTTCCAGGCCATGGCAGAGAGCTGGATCAGAAGTGGAGCAGCCGGGACTCGAACCGGTGCCCATATGGGATGCTGACACTGCAGGTGGCAGCTTTACCTGCTATGCCACAGTGCTGGCCCCCAGACTGCAGTTTTATTGGCAGGGAAATGGTTACCGAGTTGGAGATGGGATGTAACCTTATGACACCCCCCCCTTTTTTTTTTTATCTCAGAGTCTAAGGATAACTCTGGGCCCACAACGGCCATGATTCTCACAGAACACACCCTGAGATTTCTGCACTCTGAGCAATGTCAGATGCCCCTGGACTTCTGCTGAGACCTTGCCCTGGAAGATGGCCAAGGGGCTCCTGGTGACCTATGCCCTCTGGGCTGTAGGGGGCCCTGCTGGGCTCCACCACCTGTACCTGGGAAGGGACAGCCATGCCCTGCTCTGGATGCTTACCCTGGGGGGCGCTGGGCTGGGCTGGCTCTGGGAGTTCTGGAAGCTTCCAGGCTTTGTAGCTCAGGCCAATAGACCCCAGAACCAGAGGCAGAGCCTAGGACGGGGAATACCCCCCTGGAGTCCTATTCGTTTTGTTGCCCAAATCATAGTGGGCATCTATTTTGGTCTTGTGGCTCTGATTAGCCTTTCTTCCATGGCCAGCTTCTACATCGTGGGTCTCCCACTAGCAGTTGGCTTAGGGGTCTTGCTGGTGGCTGCTGTGGGCGGCCAGACCTCCGACTTTAAGAACACGCTCGGGGCAGCATTCCTGACTTCTCCCGTCTTCTACGGCCGCCCCGTGGCCATCCTGCCCATCAGCGTGGCTGCCAGCATCGCAGCCCAGAAGCACCGTCGCTACAAAGTGTCCAGGAAGTTGGAGCCGCTCAGTGCCCGGCTCTACCGCCTGGGCCTGGCTTACCTGGCTTTCACGGGCCCACTGGCCTACAGCGCTCTCTGCAACACGGCTGCCACCCTCAGCTACGTGGCCGAAGCCCTGGGCTCCCTCCTGAGCTGGTTCAGCTTCTTCCCGCTCCTTGGTCGCCTTGTGGAGTCTGTCCTCCTGCTACCTTACCGCGTCTGGTGGCTGCTGCTGGGGGACCCTGATTTCAGCAGCAGCTCCTTCCAGGACTGGGAGAAGCTCTATGAGTTTGTGCACAGTTTTCAGGATGAGAAGCATCGGCTGGCTTACCAGGTGAGCCCTCCTCCCTCTCCTTCCTGTCTGGGATGGCTGTGGAAGCACTATTTTTTTTTTTAAGCTTTATTTATTTGGAAGGCAGAGTTACAGAGAGGCAGAGAAAGAGAGGTCTTCCATCCGCTGGTTCATTCCCCAGATGACTGCAACAGCTGGAGCTGCACCAATCCGAAGCCAGGAGCCTGGAGCTTCTTCCAGGTCTCCACATAGGTACAGGGGCCCAAGCAGTTGGCCATCTTCTACTGCTTTCCCAGGCCATTAACAGGGAGTTAGATTGGAAGTGGAGTAGCCAGCACTCAAACCGGTGCCAATATGGGACGCTGGCTCTGCAGGCAGCAGCTTTACCCACTATACCACAGCACTGGCTCTATTTCATCCAGTCTTGACCTTCAAATAAATGGAATCATGCAGTATGTATTCTGTGGCTGGTGTCTTTTCAATCAACATTATCTGTATGAGATTTTTTCATGTAGTCACATGCTATGGTTTGTTTTCTTTGCAATACAGTGTCTCATTGTGTGATTAGACTACAATTTATTTGCTGTATTGGTAATAAGTGTTTGGGTCATTTCTACAGAAGAGTGCTACTATAAGCATGCTCATACATGTCTCTCTTTTTTTTAAGATTTATTTATTTTACTTGAAAGTCAGCGTTACACACAGAGAGAAGGAGAGGCAGAGAGAGAGAGAGAGAGAGAGAGAGAGAGAGAGAGAGGTCTTCCATCCACTGGTTCACTCCTCAATTGGCCACAACAGCTCGAGCTGTGCAAATCTGAAGCCAGAAGCCAGGAGCCAGGAGCTTCTTCCAGGTCTTCCATGTGGGTGCAGGGGCCCAAGGACTTGGGCCATCTTCTACTGCTTTCCCAGGCCATAGCAGAGAGCTGGATCGGAAGTGGAGCAGCCGGGACTCAAATCGGTGTCCATATGGGATGCCAGCACTGCAGGTGGCGGCTTTACCTGCTACGCCACAGTGCTGGCCCCCTAAATCATCTTTTTAATGGTACATGTAGTTCTTGCCATGAGACACGATGCTTGTCCATGTCTCCAAAGGCTGAAATTCTAAGCCAAGACCTTCCCTGTGAGCAAGTAGAAGCTGATTCTGGAGATAGCCTGATTTACCAAAGGAGCAGTTTCCCTAACACCTTGTGAAATTATAACTTCTGTTCCCCTAAGGTTTTGGGCCTTTCAGAAGGTATAACAAATGAAGAAATTCATCGGCGTTACCGGGAGCTGGTGAAGCTCTGGCACCCAGACCACAACCGGCACCATACAGAGGAGGCAGAGAGGCGCTTTATGGAAATCCAGGCTGCGTATGAAGTCCTGAGTCAGCCCAGGAGGCCCCGGGGAGCCAGGAGGTGAGAAGAAGTGTCTGAGGAGACTCACTTGCCGGCAGGGCTGGGCAGCTTGTCCCCTGTCCCGCTTACCCATGTGGGGTCTCCCAGCAGCGTTAAAGAAATCATCCATTTGCAGTGCAGACAAGAAAGTCTTTTTTTTTTTTTTTTTTTTTTTTATGACAGGCAGAGTGGATAGTGAGAGAGAGAAAGGTCTTCCTTTGCCGTTGGTTCACCCTCCAATGGCCGCCACGGCTGGCACGCTGCGGCCTGCGCACCGTGCTGATCCAAAGGCAGGAGCCAGGTGCTTCTCCTGGTCTCCCATGGGGTGCAGGGCCCAAGCACCTGGACCATCCTCCACTGCACTCCCGGGCCACAGCAGAGAGCTGGCCTGGAAGAGGGGCAACTGGGACAGAATCCGGCACCCCAACCGGGACTAGAACCCGGTGTGCTGGCGCCGCTAGGTGGAGGATTAGCCTATTGAGCCGCGGCGCCAGCCAAGAAAGTCTTAAAGGGGTGAGTGAGAAGGATTATGGCGGAAGCTTGTGCTTATGTCCCAGGAATCTGAATTTTTTTTTTAAAAAAGATTTACTTTATTTTATTTGAATGGCAGAGTTACAGAGAGGCGGAGGCAGAGCGAGTGAGAGAGAGAGAGAGAGAGAGAGAGGTCTTCCATCCACTGGTTCGCTCCCCAAATAGCTGCAATGGCCAGAGCTGGGCCAATCCAAAATCAGGAGCCAGGAGTTTCTTCCAGGTCTTCCATGTGGGTGCAGGGGCCCAAGCACTTGGGCCATCTTCTACTGCTTCCCCAGGCCACAGCAGAGAGCTGGATTGGAAGTAGAGTGCCGGGCCGGCGCCGCAGCTCACTAGGCTAATCCTCCGCCTAGCAGCGCCGGCACACCGGGTTCTAGTCCCGGTTGGGGCGCTGGATTCTGTCCCGGTTGCCCCTCTTCCAGGCCAGCTCTCTGCTGTGACCAGGGAGTGCAGTGGAGGATGGCCCAGGTGCTTGGGCCCTGCACCCCATGGGAGACCAGGAGAAGCACCTGGCTCCTGGCTCCTGCCATCGGATCAGCGCGGTGCGCCGGCCGCAGCACGCTGGCCGCGGCGGCCATTGGAGGGTGAACCAACGGCAAAGGAAGACCCTTCTCTCTGTCTCTCTCTCTCTGAGTCACACCCTGAGCAACCCCAAAAGAAAAAAAAAAAAAAGAACACTCCACAGCCAGCTCTGGGGACCACTCGGCAACAATGCCGGCACTGACGGCGGCTTTACCTGCTACGCCACAGTGCCGGCCCCATGACCATTTATTTTTTAAAGATTTATTTATTTATTTATTTTAAAGTCAGAGTTACACAGAGAAGGAGAGAGAGAAAGAGAGAGAGAGAGAGAGAGAGAGGTCATACATCCTATGGTTCAACCCCCAGATGGCAGCAACAGCTGGAGCTGCGCCGATCCGGAGCCAGGAGCCAGGAGCCTCTTCCAGGTCTCCCACGTGGGTGCAGGGGCCCAAGAACTTGGGCCATCTTCCACTGCTTTCCCAGGCCATAGCAGAGAGCTGGATAAGAAGTGGAGCAACTGGGACTCCAAACAGCGCCCATATGGGATGCCGGCACTGCAGGTGGTGGCTTTACCCACTATGCCACAGCTCTGGCCCCATGGGTTGCAGTTTTGAAATTTCAGAGCCAGCTGCTATACTATGCCGCGTGCACGTGTGCGCCAGCCCCTGTCTTGGAGGAGATCCCCAGTGCTTTACATGGCTGATTGGAAGGGCTGAGTTCTCAGGTCTTCCCAGTCCCTGAGTTCTGGTTCTGAGCCACACTCCCTGCTCCCCGGGCAGCTTGCAATCTGAGGGGGAAATGGCACAGGTGCACTTGCTCACCATCTTCAACTCAGAGCTCTGGATAATGTACCAGGTCACTGGAGAAAGGAGAGCTGAGTTTGTTTAGGGGGGCGTCCTGGAAAGATGGGAGATTTTATATCTCATGTGTCTGTACGAGGACTCAGGGAACCCCTAAGCAACCAGCGGCTTGGGCATCTCAGAGCGCCTTATTTAATTCTAGGTGACGGTCAGGTGTGGAAGAGCCCAGGATGTCTCTGTAGAGGAAGACTGCAGAGGCCAGGACTCGGAGGGTGAAATGATGAACTTTTGCTGCATCTTTCCCATCATTTTTTTGTTTGTTTGTTTTTGGTGTGTGCATCCTTCACTCTTTCCTGGTCATTGACTCTGAGTTATTTTACATATATGTGGATACGTGTTTATGTGTGTGGAAGGTTAAAGAATGCAACCACACTTGGACAGATTTTGTCACAAGCTATTGTCCCTCTCCTTGGCCAATCCAGTTCTTAAAGAGAATCATTTACTATTTTCTGAGCACTGGGCTCATTCATTCCCCTAAAATCATTTGCTACCCCTTGGATGGCTGCCTTCTCCATCTCCCCTCTTCCCTGTAAAGAAGGGCAGGTGAGCACCTGGCCCTCACTGGGTTGCTGGGATAATCACACAGTCCTCCCCCACACACACAAATACACTTGTGTATCTTTTCTCCTGTTCATCTGCCTATTGCCAGTTCGCTCAAGCAAACCTTAAGATACCCCCTTTGCACCATTCATTGGTCAATATTCTCTAAAGATGAAAAAAAATCCAGTAGAGGAATACAATCTTAGATATTTCATTAAAAATAATATTTTAAAATTTACCAATAGATTTACTTATGTCCTGTGAATTTAAGACCAAATTGACTTTAATGCTTCATTTAAGGTTGCTGAAGTTTCTTTAAAAAAAAAAGATTTATTTTATTTATTTGAAAGACAGAGTTACAAAGAGAGAGATAGAGAGAGAGCAAGAGAGAGAGGTCTTCATCCACTAGTTCACTCCCCAAATGGCATCAACAGCTGGAGCTGGGCCAATCCAAAGCCAAAAGCCAGGAGCTTCTTCTGGGTCTCTCACATGGGTACAGGGGTTTGAGCACTTGGGCCGTCTTCCACTGCTTTCCCAGACCATAGCAGAGAGCTGGATCAGAAGTGGAGCAGTCTGGACTCAAACCGGCACCCATATGGGATGTTGGCACTGCAGGCAGTGGCTTTACCCACTATACACAGCACTAACCCCATCACTATTATTTTAAAAAGACGTATTCATTTTGAAAGGCATACTAATACTACTAATAATAATTAGAGAGAAAGAAAGAGAGAGAGAAACATATTACCTTCCATTTGCTGGTTCACTCCCCAAATGGTTGCAACAGCCAGGGCTGGGCCAGGCCAAAGTTAGGAGCCAGGAACTTCATCCCGATCTCCCACGTATGTGACAGGTCCCCAAATACTTGGCCATCATCAGCTGACTTCCCAAGCACATTAGCAGGAGGCTGGATCAGAAGTGGAGTAGTCAGGACTCAAACTGGCACTCTGCTATGGGATGCTGGCATTGCAAGCAATGGCTTAACCCATTGCACCACAATGCCAGCCCCTGTTATTAATTTTTTAAAAATATTATTCATTTAGGGGCTGGCACTGTGGTTTCCAGCTCTCTGCTATGGCCAGGAAAAACAGTAGAAGATGGCCCAAGTCCTTGGGCCCCTACACCTGTGTGGGAGTCCCAGAAGAAGCTCCTGGCTCCTGGCTTCGGATTGGCACAACTCCGTCCATTGCAGCCAATGGGGGAGTGAACCAGTGGATGGAAGACCTCTCTCTCTTTCTGCCTCTTTCTGTCTGTAACTCTGCCTTTCGAATAAATAAATAAATCTTTAAAAATAATAAAAAGAAGTCAATAGGAATGATGGGTTCCTGTGGTGGAGGGGTTACGAGTGATCCCTCTCCTTTTCTATGTGGAATGCCTGTATCCCCAGAGTATCTGGGTTTGAGTCCTGGCTGTAGTTCCAATTCCAGCTTCCTGCCAATGCAGACCCTGAAAGGCAATAAGTTTTTGTTTTGTTTTGTTTTTGTTTTTGTTTTTGTTTTTTGTTTTGTTTTTTACAGGCAGAGTGGACAGTGAGAGAGACAGAGAGAAAGGTCTTCCATTTCTGTTGGTTTACCCCCCAATGGCCGCTGCAGCTGGTGCGCTGCGGCCAGCGCACCGTGCTGATCTGAAGCAAGGAGCCATGTGCTTCTCCTGGTCTCCCATGGGGTGCAGGGCCCAAGGACCTGGGCCATCCTCCACTGCACTCCCGGGCAACAGCAGAGAGCTGGACTGGAAGAGGAGCAACCTGGACAGAATCTGGCACCCCGACCAGGACAAGAACCTGGTGTGCCAGTGCCGCAGGTGGAGGATTAGCCTATTGAGCTGCGGTGCCTGCCAAGGCACCCTAACCCTAACCCTAACCCTAACCCTAACCCTAACCCTAACCCTAACCCTGCCAAGGCACCGCAGCTCCCTGGGAGCATCCCTGGGAGAACCGGTTTGAGTTCTGCTCCTGGCTTTGGATCTGGCCTAGCCCCAAGCATTTGGGGGAGTGAACCAGCAGATGAAGAGCTGTCTCTGTCTCCCTCCCTCTCTGTCTTTCAAATAAATTAAATAAATAAATAGAAAAAGTGTTTAAAAAAAGGGAGAAGGCCATTCTAGGCTCTCATCTCCATAAACATTTGGAAGAGCAGTCATTTGGGGGCTAGAGTGTTGAGAAGGGGCAGAGATTTTTGGGCCATTTGTAATAGCAGAGATTCCCACAATGAGACAATTGCAGGGTTAGATGAATTTCATGAATTCCCTGTCACGATGCAAGTCCACAGGGAGGCTGCTCCCTGACATCCAGACTGTCTGTCTCCCTGTACAGGGGGAGCATATGCTAATGACTTCCTACCTGCTGCAGCATGGGTGGCCAACCAACTCAGCACCCACTGGTCACCTTGGTGTGGATTGCTGTGGGTCTGGGCTGTGGGACTGGGTGACAGGTAAGGATGAGATTAGGAGACATCATCTGATTCACTTGTGCTTGGATTTTTACCCCCTCCTTCTAGACCTGGCTGATGGGCAGGAACCCCCGTTGAGCTCCTACTAGGGCTGGGCCATCCGACCACCTATAGAGGGCGCTGTTTCCATACTGACTACCCACTGGGTAGCCCAGCTAGTTTTTGAAACTTTTTTTTAAAAGATATATTTATTTTGAAAGAGTGACACAGAGAGAGAGAGAGAGAGAAAGAGAGAGAGAGAGAGAGAGAATCTTCCATCGGCTAATTTCACTCCCCAAATGGCTGTGACTGTCAGCACTGGGCTAGCCTGAAGCCAGGAGCCAGGAGCTTCATCTGGGTCTCCCACCAGGGCAGCAGGGGCCCAAGCACTTGGGCCATCTTCCACTACTTTTCCCTGGCCATTAGCAGGGAGCTGGAGCAGAAGTGGAGGAGCCGGGGCTCGAACCAGTATGCATACTGGATGCTGTGACGCAGGCAGCAGTTTTAGCCACAACACCACAATGCTGGCCCCAAAGTTGGAACTTTTGGAAGGGTTCCCCATCAACCCTGGGATGTTACAGTCCCTGAGTTTTATAGGGATGTTTTCCAAAGGAGCTGACATAATGAAAATCAACTGCAAGTAGAAATTTGGTAAAAAAATTAAAATAAATAAAAAATCTAAGACATTAACAAGTGAGTCTGCCTGATTCACTGCCTCAGTTGGTTTACTGGAATCTGGTGACTTCATTCCTCTCTGACTTACACATAAAAAGTTCAGAGATGCTTTGAGGAGTTGGAAGGGAGTTAAGGAGACTTCTTGCCCAAGCGCTCAAACAAGGCAGGGTCTTGGGAATAGCTTGCCTCCGAGAAGACTACCTGAGCTTTTGCTTGAGTTAATAATCCCCTACCTCCCCTATCTTTTGGATGTCCCTAATTGTAAAGAAGTTATTTTATGGGCAAACATTTTTTTTCTAGACCTGTAAAGAACAAAAACTCTGGGACCAGTACTGTGGTGTAGTAGGTTAAACCTCTGCCTGCAATGCCAGCATCCTGTATGGTCACAGGTTTGAGCCTTGGCTGCTCCACTTCTTTTTTTTTTTCTTTTGACAGGCAGAGTGGACAGTGAGAGAGAGAGAGAGACAGAAAGGTCTGCCTTTTTCCATTGGTTCACCCCCACAGTGGCCACTGAGGCCGGCGCTGCGGCTGGCGCACCGCGCTGATCCGATGGCAGGAGCCAGGTGCTTCTCCTGGTCTCCCATGGGGTGCAGGGCCCAAGCACTTGGGCCATCCTCCACTGCCTTCCTGGGCCACAGCAGAGAGCTGGACTGGAAGAGGAGCAACCGGGACAGAATCCGGCGCCCCGACCAGGACTAGAACCCGGTGTGCTGGCGCCGCAGGTGGAGGATTAGCCTATTGAGCCGCAGCGCCGGCCGGCTGCTCCACTTCTTTTTTTTTTTTTTTTTTTTTTAAATTTTTGACAGAGTGGACAGTGAGAGAGAGAGAGAGACAGAGAAAAAGGTCTTCCTTTGCCGTTGGTTCACCCTCCAATGGCCACCGCGGCCGGCGCATCGCGCTGATCCGAAGGCAGGAGCCAGGTGCTTCTCCTGGTCTCCCATGGGGTGCATGGCCCAAGGACTCGGGCCATCCTCCACTGCACTCCTGGGCCACAGCAGAGAGCTGGCCTGGAAGAGGGGCAACCAGGACAGAATCCGGCACCCTGACTGGGACTAGAACCCGGTGTGCCGGCGCCGCTAGGTGGAGGATTAGCCTATTGAGCTGCGGCGCCGGCACCGGCTGCTCCACTTCTGATCCAGCTCCCTGCTAATGCACCTGGGAAAACAGCGGAAGATGGCCCAAGTGCTTGGACCCCTGACACTCCTTTTGTATGACCCAGATGGTTCTCTGGGCTCCTGGCTTCATGCTGGCCCCACCCCTGTCACTTTGTCTTTCAAAAAAAGAAATAAATCTGAAGAAAAAACAAAACAAAACAGGAAGATGCTGTTTAGGAAGCTCCCATCCCTTATTGGTGTTCCTTGGCTTGAGTCCCGGCTCTACTTCCCATTCCAGTCTCCTGCTGGTGCACGTGCACCCTGGGAGGCAGCAGGTGATGGCTCAAGTATCCTTGCCTGCTACCTGGGAGCTCTGGTTCGAGTTCCGGATCCACGTTTTGGCCCGATCCAGCCCTGGTTGTTGTGGACATTTGGGGAGTGACCCAGCAGATGGAAGATCTTTCTCCAGTTCTCTGTCTTTCAAATTAAATAAATAAATACAATTGCTTTCAACACTGGATCCTGTTGTTCTTATATTTGTAGCTGAGGTTTGTGCTAAAAGGTTTGATTTGTTATCTTCTGTCTGCCCTCTTGTGGACATTGTTTTGGGGGAAAAAATAAAATATTTAACTGCTGGAAGAACTATATAATGATCCACACCCAAACTGAAAACAATTCACCTGCATCTCGATCTTTGTTTTCAGTTATTTGTTCTCATCCATAAACGTGCTTCATTCTATGTGGCTGAAATATATCAAGGATACATTTTTTTCCTCTTCTCTGATAATGATGATGTCTTTATGGAGATATGTAAAAATACTTAAGAATCAGTAGGCAATTTTGTATATTACTCCTACATTATCGTGTATAATTTTTTTTACTGAGATATATCCACATACCAAGAAATTCACCCTCTTAAAGCATACAATTTAGTGTTTGCTTTTTTTTAGCATATTCACAAGGTTGTACACTCATCTCCATTCTCATATTCTAGAAATTTCCACAACCCCCCAAAGAAGCTCCATACCCATTAGCATCCACTCTCCCATCCCTCCCCTCCAGCCCCCTAGAAGCCGCTAAACTATATTCTGTGTCTGTAGGTTTGCCCATTCTGGACATTTCAAATAAATGGAATCATACAGAATATTGCCTCTTGTGTGTGTCTGGCTTCTTTCACTTAGCATAATGTTTTCAAAGTTCACTCATGTTGTAGCATGCTTCATTGGTATATTTCCTTTTTTTAAATAGCACATCATTTTATTTTAATGCTGAACACACTCCTTTTTTTGAGAGAAATTATATATATAACATATATATGTTGTTGTAAAGAAAGCTGCATCAATATCTCCATACCTCTAATTTATCTATTTTCTTGAATTATTTCCTTCAAACAAATCCCCACGGGTAGGATTACTGGGTCAAAGGGTATGAACATTTTTATAGCTCTTGTCAATATTGCTCTTAAATTGTGGTGCCTGGAAATAAATGCAATTCTCAGATGTGTTCAGACAGAACGGGGTACTGTGGGGCTATTAAGTTCTCAAGGTCTGGACGATATATCATCCTTTAAATCAAGCAGCCTACAAATTTATCAGCTTTGGGGGGTTGCTGTGTGAGTGCGGTTCAGGAGCTGAGGGTTGGCTGAGGTCTCGGGCCTTTCTTAGGCACTGTCTTAAAGATGTTTTTGCATCTGCAGACTTGCAGTCTTGAATGAGGTGTGTTTTAGTTTTCTCTCAATGTTAGCACACAGATCCCAACCAGCTGGTGGGAGGAACGTTTCTTGTAGTCCTAGCTGGCAGCTGCAGGTGGTGCTATTAGGCTGTCACAAGGGTGAGCATGTTCCTTTTGAGCCTGGTAGTGACACCTCCTTAGCAGGTTCATCACCTGAGTTCAGTTCCGCCCTTCTGTTGAGAAAGAAAGAGCAACTGGGGAAACTGGATTGGGGTGTTATTCAAGGCCAGCTCCGATGGAGGCCTGATTTCCGGTTGTCCCTGAAGCTTCCTGGGGACCTGGGCCAGTCCCTGTCGTGTTGGAGCTTGGCGTGGACACACCTCTGGTGACAGAGCTGCGCTGTGCGGATCACCCCGGAGAAGATGGTTTTGTTTATTGTTTTATGTTCCCTTTCATCTCTTTCTTTTAGTCACTGCAAGGGATTGAAACTTGCTCAGCTGTCTCACTCATTGGTTGGCTGCTTTTGTGTTTTGCTTTTGCTAAGGTGAATTTTGAAAAATGAAAGTAAAAAATGTAGGTGGGTTCCAGCTGGATGAGATTTCATTTCAACAATGTGCTTCGCTCTTTATTTCTCCTATTTTTCCCAATTCTCTTCTTTCTCGCCATCTCTCATTCATCCTTTCTGTAGTCTGCCTGCACGTTTGCAAACTGTTTTTTAAAATATACCTTATAGGCCGGGTCTCCCACATGAGCGCAGGGGCCCAAGGACTTGGGCCATCTTCTACTGTTTTCCCAGGCCATAGCAGAGAGCTGGATTGGAAGTGGAGCAGCCGGGACTCAAACTGGTTCCCATATGGGATGCTGGAGCTTCAGGTCAGGGCATTAACCTGCTGTGCCACCCCCTCCAACTGTGTTTTAACCACTGCACCAAATGTCCCCCTCCCCTTTATTTGCAAGCTATTATGACCCTCGAGCAAGGACCTGGGACTATTTTGGGTTTAAATCTCGCTGGCTAATTTCAACAGAATATCCCCCTGCCTCTCTTTCCATATCTTTACCCACCAGTCTAAGCTTGGCATCTTTCTCTTTTGAAATTTTTTAAAGGTTTATGTATTTATTTATTTATTTTTGACAGGCAGAGTTAGACAGTGAGAGAGAGAGAGACAGAGAGAAGGTCTTCCTTCCATTGATTTACCCCCGAAATGGCCGCTATGGCCAGCACGCTGCACCGATCCAAAGCCAGGAGCCAGGTGCTTCCTCCTGGTCTCCCATGCAGGTGCAGGGCCCAAGGACCTGGGCCATCCTCCACTGCCTTCCTGGGCCACAGCAGAGAGCTGGCCTGGAAGAGGAGCAACTGAGACAGAATCCGGCACTCCGACCGGGACTAGAGCCCCGGGGTGCCGGCGCCACAGGCGGAGGATTAGCCTAGTGAGCCCTATAGGTTTATTTATTTCTTTCAAAGTCAGAATTACAGAAAGAGGGGGAGAGACAGAGAGAGAAGTCTTCCATCTGCTGTTTCACTCCCAAAATAGCCAAAATGACCAGGGCTAAGCTGGGCTGAAGCGAGGAGCTGGGAGCTTCATTGGACTCTCCCATGTGGGTTCAGAGGCCCAAGCACTTGGGCCAGCTTCCCCTGCTTTTCCCAGGCACATTAGCAGGAAGCTGGATCAGAAGTGAGTGGCAGCTGGTGCCGAGACTCACTAGGCTAATCCTCTGCCTTGCGGCGCCGGCACACAGGGTTCTAGTCCTGGTCAGGGCGCCGGATTCTGTCCCGGTTGCCCCTCTTCCAGGCCAGCTCTCTGCTGTGGCCGGGGAGTGCAGTGGAGGATGGCCCGAGTACTTGGGCCCTGCACCCCATGGGAGACCAGGATAAGCACCTGGCTCCTGCCATCCGATCAGCGCGGTGCGCTGGTCGCAGCGCGCCGGCCGCGGTGGCCATTGGAGGGTGAGCCAACGGCAAAAGGAAGACCTTTCGACCTTTCTCTCTGTCTCTCTCTCTCACTGTCCACTCTGCCTGTCAAAAAAAAAAAAAAAAAAAAAAAAAAAAGAAGAAGTGAGTGGTTGGGTTACAAACCAGCATAAATACAAGATGCAGGTGTCACAGCTGGTAGTTTTATCCATGATGCCACAACTCTGGCCCTCTCTCTTTTTAAAATAACTTTTTTCTGTCCTTAATGTGTTGTCCAATGTGAAGTAATGCTATAACTAGTACTGAAACAGTATTTTACACTTTGCGTTTCTGTGTGAGTGCAAACTGATGAAATCTTTACTTAATATATACTAAATCGATCTTCTGTATGTAAACATAATTGAAAATGAATGTGAATGGAATGGGAGAGGGAACACGAGATGGGAGGGGTGCGAGTGGGAGGGAAATAATGGGGGAGGAAGCCATTGTAATCCATAAACTGTACTTTGGAAATTTATATTTACTAAATAAGATAAATAAATAAATAATAAATAAATATGAAATGTGAAAAAAACTTTTTCTTTTCTCTTAAAATTATTTTTGTTTATTTGAAAGGCAGAGAGAAAAAGAGAGAAAGGGAGAGAAGAGAGCTCCTGGGTGCTGGTTTGCTCCCCCAAAGCCTGCAATAGCTGGGACTGGGCCAGGAACTAGGAGTTGAGTCTTCCTTTGGGGTAGCAGGGACCCAACTACACAGGCCATCATCTGCTGGCTGGAATAAGGAGTAGATAAACCCCTGGCGCTCTGGTATGGGATGTGCTAACGTGGTGTTCTAAGTGCTACACCAAATGCACTTCCAATGCCCAGCCCCCCTCTTCTCCCCACCCCCACAACCTCTCTGGTTTTTGTTTCTCTCCCTTTCTCTCCCTGGGGTCTGTAGCAGACAGCATAATTTTTCTGCTTTTCTGTATAATTGGGTTGCAAATAAGATAACAGCTCGGTCTAGGCAAGGGGTGCCTGGTTATTTTATATTCAGCAACAGGGAGCTCGCTGCCTGGTGGCAGGTGACTTTCCTTGCACAGCTAAAGGGATCGATCATTTCAGATCCATCTTCCTCTAAGCTCTAATTCTTCTCCATCAATGAGCTTTTAATTTTGATGCTCTTGCCTTTGCTGATGTCACTCTTCTTTCCTGTAATTCTTTTTCCTCCCGGCTAATCCAAATCTTTATACTTGTTTTTATGGCAGCTTAAGTTTTTATCCCTAAATGATGACTTCACTGATTAATTCCACCTCTGGTAATCTTTCCCCTTGAATTCCTTCAGGTTTTGTGTCCAGCTGGCATTTTTCTAACATTTCCTTAGACATTGCCATGTCATTATTTCCCATCTTAAGTTTGCGAGTCTTCCTTCCTCAACTATACCAAGGCTCCTTGAGAGTAGGCAATGTGTCTTCTCTTATTTAATTTTTTAGGACACTTATTAAATATATGGTTCTGGGCAAACTAATAATTTAGAACTTCAGTTTTTTTATTTGTCACATGGGAATAATAATAATAATAATAAATATGTGGAAATAATCAAGTTAAGAATGTGTTGACAGCATCTTATGAGCTATGAAACATTGTTCTGAGGTAGGCAGTATTCATTATTTGCATGGTGGCAGAATGTATAAATGGTAGAGTGTGCTAAGAGAACTTAAGGGTAGAGCAGTATTAGTTGCCTCATACGTGGAACAAATTCACTAAAAGAGCAAATTTAAGTATTTTTGTTGCAGATTTATTTATTTATTTGAGTCAGAGTTACACGCAGAGAGAAGGAGAGAGAGAGAGAGGGGTCTTCCATCCGCTGGTTCACTCCCCAATTGGCTGCAATGGCTGGAGCTGTGCCAATCTGAAGCCAGGAGGCAAGAGCTTCTTCTGGGTCTCCCATGTGGGTGCAGGGGCCCAAGGACTTGGTCCATCTTCTACTACTTTCCCAGGCCATAGCAGAGAGTTAGATCAGAAGTGGAGTAGCTGGGACTCAAACTGGTGCCCATATGGGATGCCGGCACTGCAGGCAGTGGTTTTACCCACTATGCCACAGTGCCAGACCCTAACGTTAAGTATTTAATGAATCTGTAAGGCACTCATACTGAACTATTTCAGATCTGAGTTTTGGTTTTGATAATGCCGGTAGTTTTGTTAACACTTCAGCCTTTGATGGTTCAAGGCTTTTTCCAGATCTAAATGTCTGATAAAAAGTGAAAACGTGTGTTAGCCACGTCATTGGATCTCAGTTTTGTTATCTGTGAAACGCTGACTTACTTGAGTCTCTTTAATAGAACTTAATAGAATGAATGTTCAGAGAAATCCACAGGAAAGTCTGTTGGGGACAAAAAGTTCCTTGGCAAAAGTGCGTGCTGTATAGCCTGTCATATGGATACATATGACCATATCCATGCTCTGGGAAGTAAGGAAACCAGTTTAACTTAATTTAAACCAATGTTTCCAAAACTTATTGGATGTAGAATAGTTCTCTCAGATATCTACTTAGCATTCCATTAAACTGAATTTTTTAAAAAAGATTTAATTATTTATTTGAAAGTCAGAGTTACACAGGGAGAGGAGAGGCAGAGGGAGAGAGAGAGGTCTTCCATCTGCTGGTTCACTTCCCAAATGGCCACAAAGGCTGGAATTGGGCTAATCTGAAACTAAGAGCCAGGAGCTTCCTCCAGATCTCCCACATGGGTGCAAGAATCCAAATGCTTGGGCCATCTCTATTGCTTTCCCAGGCCATAGCAGAGAGCTGGATCAGAAGTGGAGCAGCGTGGACTTGAACCGGCACCCATATGGGATGCTGGCACTGCAGACAGAGGCCCAACCCGCTACACCACATTACCAGCCCTTCCCTGGTGCATTGTTAGCAGGGAGCTGGATCAGAAGTGGGGCAACAACCAGGACACAGACCACCACTCTGATGTGGTATGCTGTCATTGTATGTGGTGGCTTTACCTACTACACCACAGCACCGGCCCTGAAACTAATTTTCTGAGATACCTACTTTGGATTGCAACATGTGTATTCTTAAGCATTTGAGACATGTAGGTGAAGGAAAAAGTACAACCTCATGAGACATTCACTGCTGTGTGTGTGTGTGTGTGTGTGTGTGTGCCTGTTACAATTTGTAGCTTATCAACAGAGACTTATGACTAATTGTAGACATTGATTATCAACTCTCCCAGGTAATGAATTAAGTTTCTCAGATTGACGTTTAACTTTAGTCCCTTTCAAACACAAACACGGAATCTGGTAATTAATCACATACAATATATCAACTCAAAACACACAAAAATGCTAGAAATGCTCTAATCTCAGGGATCTATTTGAAAACACACCAGACCAGGTCAGGTTAATACCAGCTGCAGAATATATCTGCCAAGGTGAATATCGTATCATGATTTCTCTTTAGTTCTAGTCTGGCACTAGCTCATAAATGAATTCTCCAGAAGCTCAAGTGAGACATATGTATGTTATTATTTAAAAAGAGATTTAATTATTTCTCGGAAGGCAGAGTGATAGAGAGAGGGAGAGATAGTGAGATCTTCCATCCAGTGATTCATTCCCCAAATGGTCACAACACCCATGGCTGGGCCAGAAGCCAGGAGCCAGGAGGTCCATCTGGGTCTCCCATGTGCGTGGCAGGGGTCTAACGACTTGAGTCATCATTTGCTGCCTCCCAGAGTGTGCATGAACAGGAAGCTGGATTGGAAGCAGAGGCAGGACTTGAACCCATGAATTCAGATATTGGATGTGGGAATCCCAAGTGTTATCTTAACTGCTGTACCAAACACCTGCCCCTGATTTATTTAGTAGAGAGATGGAGAGAGACAGTGAACTCCTATCCATTGGTTCACTCCCCAAAAGCTGGGACTGGGCTGGGCTGAAGCTGGGAGCCAGGAACTCAGTCCAGGTCTCTCTTGTGAGTGGCAGGGACCTAACCACCTGAGTTATCACCTGCTGCCTCCCAGGGTCTGCATTAGCAGGAGGTTGGAATCAGGAACCAGAGTCCCATACAGGAATCCAGGCACTCCAATTTGGGATGTGGATTTTTTTTTTTTTCTCTTTGAGTGAGTAGCCAGTAAATATTTTTTTGACAGGCAGAGTGGACAGTGAGAGAGAGAGACAGAGAGAAAGGTCTTCCTTTGCCGTTGGTTCACCCTCTAATGGCCGCTGCGGCTGGCGCACCACACTGATCTGATGGCAGGAGCCAGGTACTTCTCCTGGTCTCCCATGGGGTGCAGGGCCCAAGCACTTGGGCCATCCTCCACTGCACTCCCAGGCCACAGCAGAAAGCTGGCCTGGAAGAGGGGCAACCGGGACAGAATCCGGCGCCCCAACCGGGACTAGAACCCGGTGTGCCGGCGCCGCAAGGCGGAGGATTAGCCTAGTGAGCCGCGGCGCCGGCTAGGGGATGTGGATTTTTAAAAAAGATTTTATTTATTTGAAAGTCAGAGTTACACACAGAGCGGGGGGGGGGGGGTCTTCCATCCCCTGGCTTACTCCCCAGATGACCGCAATGGCTGGAGCTGTGCCAATCCGAAGCCAGGAGCCAGGAGCCTCTTCCAGGCCTCCCAGTGGGTGCAAGGGCCCAAGGACTTGGACCATCCTCCACAGCCTTCCCAGGCCATAGCAGAGAGCTGGAGCGGAAGAAGAGCAGCCAGGACTCAAACCGGTGCCCACATGGGATGCTGGTGCTTCAGGTCAGGGCTTTAACCCACTGTGCCACAGTGCTGGCCCCTAGGGCTCTCTTAGGAGGGATATCATGTCTTTCTCAACAGGCTCTAAGGTTTTCCAGAATGGGGATTTATTTTCCAAAGAATATGTATTGGTTTTATAGCAGCAGCAGGCCCATAATAAAAGACTTCCCTGAGTGGCTTTTGGTTAATGAAATTGGTCATCGTGGAATAGGATTGGAGGCTCAGTTCCTTATGGTCCCGGGTCATATCATCCTGCTCCTTCCCTACATAGGTTGGAAGGGGAATTGGGAAAGCATTAGTCACTCATGTGTGTGTGTTTATGTGTGTGCATGTTCCAGCATCACTTAGAACTTTTCTGCTTCAACATTTATCATGTTATTGTACTTATTTAATAGCTATCATCCTCCTTAACAACTGGATGCCTTCCTTGGGGGTAGTAATCCGCAATTCTGTTTTATTTATTTATTTTTCTAAGTGGCCTAATATCCAGAACAATACCTACCACTCTTAGGCATTTACATCAACTTAGTGACTGAAGAGAGACAAGACATTGGGAGGGTGTGACTCTACTTGAATCGTTTGTCTACAGTGACACATGGGACCAGTGCCTTAACCAGCGGGATGATATAGTCTTCTGCTTATTTAGATCTGTTAAATTATATTGCTGGAGTAGATCGGGCATTATATTAACCAGGGGTCTGTGGGCTTTATTTATCTATTTTTTTAAAAGACTTCCCTATTTATTTGAAAGGCAGAGTTACAGAGAGATAGGGAGAGACCCTTCGATCTGTTGGTTCACTCCCCAAATTGCCACAAGGGCCAGGGTGAAGCCCGGAGCTTCCTCTGGCTCTCCCAGGGTGGGTGGCAGGGGTCTAGGCACCCAGGTCATTCTTCCAGAGGGTTTTTGACCCCCGAACTCATGCAAAGTTTGAAGCCACAAGACCAGATGGGCTGGTAGAAATCTACTCTACCACTCAATTGCAGGCAGTGACTGGAATAGCAAATGTGTGGAAGCCCACACTACAGTGCACCAGTGGTGTCTAGCTATACATTTTACACACTCTCGAACTGGGGGCTGCTGCCTGTTCAACCTCCGCTTGGCCTCAAAAGATAACAAAGTGGCGACAGATTCTGATTCATCTTTGCAGGCTGTTTCACCAAATCCCAGCCTCTAGCTCCTCCTAACGGACCTCTGACCGTGAAGCAAGCACCTCACACAAGCAGAAAAAAACACACACGTTTCTGGCCATGAAGATAGCGGGGGTGGGGTATTTAATACAAAAAATTCGACCACAGCCTTAGGGAGGGAACGTAGCCGGCCGGGCAGATTGGAAATCCGACTCTAGCAGGGAATCCTCAATTCGCTCCCGCCCCGAGGTTATCTCGGGCCAAGCTGGTGCACCCCCAACATCCACCCCCCCCCACCCGCCTCCAAGGACTTCCGCCTTGTGCCCAGGTGCTAGCGAGTCAGCCGCAGGACGCTCTCTGCTTTGGGAGAGTAAAAGCAAGGTCCAAGAGGAGACCAAGGAGGGAAGTGGTGGAGAGTCCTCCTGGCGGGGTCCCAAAGCGGAGCAGGGGCTGGTTGCAGAGCATTTCGCGGCCGGGACTAGAAACAAGCCGCGCGCCAGGCTCCCCTCCCTCCACCCGCCTTCGGCCAGCTCCGGACAGTTTCGGCTGTTTCCGGCAGTTCCCGCTCGGGCCCTTCGCTCCGGCGCGCGCGCTTTCCCCTGCCTGCCCGCCGCCCCTCAATATCCGGGCCCGGGCCGTTCGGCACGCGGACGCGACCTCGTGTCCCACCGTTCCCCCTTTTTCATGCAGTTAAGCCCCCGACCCGCTTCTCCTCAGTCATTTTTAGCGACCCCCCCGACGACGCCCAAGCTCCCGCAGCTCCAGCGCGCGAGGCGGCGGCGGCGGCGGCGTGAGGCGCGCACGACCAGGGCTTGAAGGGGCGGGGATGGAGGGTTGGGATAACTCGACTCGCCCGCAGCCCCGCGTCTCCCCAGCTCGAAGGCGTCCGGCGCGCAGGGCGCCTCCCGCTCCGGCCTCATTCGCGCGCCCGTTGGCTGCAACGGCCTCGAGCCCGCTGCGAGCACGCGCGCCCTGCGCTCTGGCTGGCCGGCGCGCACGCGCTCGCGAGGGCGGGCGCCGGGGCGGGGCGTGCGGCTCGAGCCCCGGCCGAGGACCGGGTCGGTGTGGATCGTCGGGCGCTCCGGGCCCCCCAGCCGCGGCTGCGATTCGCCGCCCGCCCGCCGCCCGGCCCTGAAGGGAAGCGGGGAAGGCGGCGGTGGGGGCGGGGCGGCGTCGGGCTCTGGCGAGCTGGGGGCGGGGGAGGAGGAGGAGCGCGGCGGCGCCCGTGGCGGCAGTGGGAGAGGAGGAGGCGGAGGATCGCCTTTCCTCTCAGACGCGGGAGCGTCCGGGGCGCGGAGCCCGGAACTGGGAGGACGCGGCCACTGCGGGGTCCGGCCGGGCCAGGTGAGGCTTGGGCTTGCTGTGCGGTGGCGGGGTCGGCGGGGAGCGGACCCGCGATGCGGGGAGCGGACTCTCGGGAGGGAAAGGGGGGAAGGGACAGTTGTTGGGGGTGGGGTGTGGCGAGGAGGCGCTGAGCCCTTTTGGGGGGACCCAAAGTGCCCTGAGGGTGGGAGGTGTCCGAGGTCCGTGGGGGCGGGCGAAGCGCCCGGGTCCGAGTTGGGGAGTTTCCAGACAAGATCGGGGAACAATGGAGAGAGGGGCTCCTTGGTGTAGAGTGTGTGCGGGGTGCCGGATTTTAAGTAACGAGGGAGAAGCGAGAAGAGAATGAAAGAATGGATCGTTTGGCATGTGAAGTGCTACGAGTTGGGGGCTACGTGGTTGTCGGGGGTCCTTGGGATTTGGGGGGGCGCTTTTTTAATGGGATTTCAGAATAAAGGCTAAAAGGGTTGTCTTGGGATTGAGGAGGGTGATGGAAGGGAAAAATGAAGAAAAGAGAGGCGGTTTGGGTTTCAGTTAAAGCAGAGAGATCCAGCCCAGGGTAGGTGGACCAGGGTCATGTCTTTCTCCTAATTCAGCCAGGGCGATTGGGTTCTTTGAAAAAGTGCATCTTTGCCTCTGGCTTTTTCCCCTCTGCCGAAGAGTACAAGCCAGCTTTTCATACTTTGATGATCATCGATAAAGCATTCCCTGTAAATACTTATTTCCTCTCTGTTCAGCAGGTTCCGTACGTCATTTACCTGTGGTTAATGAAGCAGGAGAGAACAGATCACCAAAAATATCTTGCTTTGATTGCGGGTGTTGGAGGGAGAACTAAGAGCTTGTTTATTTTCGGTTGGACCAAAAGGTAATGAATCGCCTTGACAAAAAAATCTGAGTTGTCTGTACTTTGTTAGAATTGCAGTTTCTCACTGAGAAAATGTTCGTGTACCATCTGTTCCTAGTTTCAGACTCTCGGGAGGAGTTGTGTCTTGATGCTGGCTTCAAATTACCAGGCTGTCTCATACCTTCCAGAGTGACTTAAGGTGATTTGAGAATATGGTGGGAAAGTATGTCTGGGGCTCTGCTTTTTGCATTGCCTCACTACTGGGCTGTCCAGACCAGATTTGGAATGGTCCTAAGTAGCAAATAGCTGATTTTGGAAAATTCAGTTACCATTATGTATTCATAAATAGCCCATGTTAAGCTTTTTGTTTGTGAGGCATGAGTTTTGCTGACTCATCTAAGTTTTCTGGGTACTCATCAGTTTATATTTCTCAGCTGAGGCTCCGATGGAAGCATTAGGCTAGCTTATAGAGAGGTCCAGAGATGATTTTTTCCCAGCAGTCGAAAAGTGAACAAAGCAAGGAGTGAGTGCGGAGTTCTCGCTGTGATAATGTGGCTCCCTGTGGACTTTCCGTGACTAGGCAAGGTGCTGAGTTTGAAAAGTTCTTTTATAATTATTTCTTCTTGTGTACAAGAAGAGATTCAATAATTTATTAAGTGCACAGAGCTAGTGAGTAGAGCTGGATTCAGACCCAGTTCCGTTGGACGCCCTCTTTAAAGCTTTTACTGCCTTTGCTGGTTGTCCATTCTGTTCCACCCCATCTTGGTTGAGGGAAAGCAGCAGGAACTGGTCGAAACTTGGGTCCGATACGATAACAATGATTTACATAAAGGTTGGGTAAAGTTCTGGAAGGTTTATTGTTCCCGTGATTTAACAAGGCTGGGGTCTTGATAACAGCGCTAGCAGTGTCTTCTTGCGAAGGGAAGCACATTGAAGTTTCTGTTTAGTGTACTGAGGTAAGTGCTGTGCAACGTGGCACTCTGGTAGAAGTCAGGACAGCCAGTTGGGAAGCCTAAACCAATTAGCCCTGGGAAACAATGGAAAACTGCGTAGTGTTCAGTTGCTCTCCAAGCACCTGTTGAGCCCCAGCTTGGTGCTGGCATTGCCTCTAAATATAGACAGCATCCTCTTAGGAACCAGGAGTTGAACAGCTAGAACTGAAACAGCTGGGACTGGGGAGGAGGAGCCATACTTTACTGGCCAAAACATCAGCATAGCCCCTGGAGGCTGATTGGGCTCCAGACACTGTGTAGAATGTCTAGAGGGGAAGAAATTTTCATTTGTTGTGCCTTTGGATGTATTCCAGGCAACTGAATTCATTGTACTGTTTTTTACCTGGTTAATTGGTTGGATTGTCCCTGTTTTTCAGATGAGGCTCAGAAGGGTTAAGTAATGTACACAAAGCCAGTTAACAGTGGTCATGGAGGAAGTCTGTGTATACTCTTAAATTGCTGCTTGCAGTTTTCCGCTGTAGAACCACTATATTAAAGCTGGGAACGTCACTCTTTGAGATTCACCTGGCTTGTCTTTTCCAAGTCAGACTGATTATTTGGCTTGCTGCTTTCACTGGAAACTGGAAGGAAAAGCGTGTATTTTTCTGATTTAATTGTCAGGAAGGAGAGTCCATTCTTTATATTAACAGTTATATTGGGGTCAGTTGTTGTGGCATAGTGGGTTAGGTCGCTGCTTAGCCCATCTCAGGGCTGACTCATGTGGTTCGTGTCCCTGCTACTCTGCTTCTGGTGGAGTTTCTGGCTTTGGCCTGGCCCAGCCCTGGCTGTTGCAACCATTTGGTGGGTAAACCGGTGGATGGAAGAGCTCTCTCTCTGTCGTTCTTTTCAAATAAATAAATCTTTTTAAAAAATTATATTAGGGGCTGGTGTTGTGGCGTAGCTGGTAAAGCCGCCTGCATTGCTGGCATCCCATATGGGCACTGGTTCAAGTCCCCACTGGATTGCAGCAATCCAGTTCCCTGTTAATGGCCTGGGAAACACAGTGGAAGATGGCCCAAGTGTTTGTGCCCCTGCCACCCACATAGGAGACCTGGAAGAAGCTCCTGGCTCCTTCTCTCTCTTTTCTAACTCTTTCAAATGAATAAATAAGTAAATTATTTGAAAGAGTTACAGAAGTAATTTCTTTTTTAGATTTATTTATTTATTTGAAAGTCAGGATTACATAGAGAGAGGGAGAGACAGAGAGAGATCTTGTATCCACTGGTTCACTCCCCAAATGGCTGCAACAGCACAGATTGGGCCAGGCTGAAGCCAGGAGCTGGGAACTTCATCCGGGTCTCCCACCACTTGGGCCATTTTCTGCTGCTTTCCCAGGCACATCAACAGGCAGCTGGATTGGAAGTAGAGCAGCCGGGACTCGAACTGGTGCCCATATGGGATGCTGGCGTTGCAGGTGGTGGCTTAACCTGCTGTGCCATAGCACCGGCCCCTAAAATAAACTTCTTTTACTTTTGTTTTTTCATGAGCTTTTGAAGTACCCTTGTATATCTGCAGCAGCATGAAAGTGGCATACCCACCCTTCTTCTATTCTGAAGTCTTTTTTTATTTTTTTATTTTTTATTTTTTGACAGGCAGAGTGGACAGTGAGAGAGAGACAGAGAGAAAGGTCTTCCTTTGCCGTTGGTTCACCCTCCAATGGCCGCCGTGGCCGGCGCGTTGCGGCTGGCGCACCGCACTGATCCGATGGCAGGAGCCAGGAGCCAGGGGCTTTTCCTGGTCTCCCATGGGGTGCAGGGCCCAAGCACCTGGGCCATCCTCCACTGCACTCCCTGGCCACAGCAGAGAGCTGGCCTGGAAGAGGGGCAACCGGGACAGAATCCAGCGCCCCGACCGGGACTAGAACCTGGTGTGCCGGCGCCGCTAGGCGGAGGATTAGCCTAGTGAACTGTGGCGCCGGCCTTTTTTTTTTTTTTTTTTTAATTTATTTGCTAGAGAGAGAGAGAGATGGAAAGAGAGATCTCATCTGCTGGTTTTACTCCCCAAATGTCTTTAATGGAAGCTTGGAGCTGGAATTCAATCCAAGTGTCCCACATGAGTGGAGGGACCCAACTATCTGAGCTATTACCTGCTGCCTCCTGTTAGAATTAGCCAGGAATCGGCCGGCGCCGCGGCTCACTAGGCTAATCCTCCGCCTAGCGGCGCCGGCACACCGGGTTCTAGTCCCGGTTGGGGCGCCGGATTCTGTCCCGGTTGCCCCTCTTCCAGGCCAGCTCTCTGCTGTGGCCCGGGAGTGCAGTGGAGGATGGCCCAGGTGCTTGGCCCTGCACCCATGGGAGACCAGGAATAAGTACCTGGCTCTGCCATAAGTATCAGAGCAGTGCGCCGGCCCCAGCGTCCCATTTGGAGGGTGAACCAACGGCCAAAGGAAGACCTTTCTCTCTGTCTGTCTCTCTCACTGTACACTCTGCCTGTTGAAAAAAAAAAAAACACAAACAAAAAAAGAATTAGCCAGGAATCTGGCATGCACGTGGAATTTTTTTTTGAAGATAATATTTATTTATTTGAAAGGCAGAGTTACAGAGAGGCAGAGGCAGAGAGAGAGAGAGAGAGGTCTCCCATCTGCTGGTTCACTCCCCAAATGACCATAACTGCTGGAGCTGAGCCAATCTGAAGCCAGGAGCCAGGAGCTTCTTCCAGGTCTCCCACGTGGGTGCAGGGGCCCAAGGACTTGGCCATTCTCTACTGCTTTCCTAGGTGCATTAGCAGGGAGCTGGATCAGAAGTGGAGCAGCTAGGACTTGAACCAGTGCCCATATGGGATGCTGGCACCAGAGGCAGAGGTTTTACCCTCTGTGGCACAGTGCCAGCCCCCTGCACCTGGGGTTTGAACCCAGGTACTTTAATATGGGATATGGGTGTCCCAGTTGGGGGGGTCTTAGCTGCTGTAACAAACTCTGAGCCCTATTCTGAGATCTTGACATTGAAGATAAGTCAGTTGGACTTGAGGCTGACGGTGAAGCATGACTGTTAGAAACACTTCCTACTTCTTTTGGTTTGTTTTAAATATTTATTTTCATTTTATTTGAAAGGCAGAGAGAGAGAGCACGAGCAAGCAGGTGAGCGATAGAGAGAGATCTTCTGTTTACTAGTTCATCCTCTAAATGCTGGCAACATCCAGGGCTAGGTGAGGTGGTATTGAGGAGTGTGGACTTAATCCAGGTCTCCCACAGAGGTGACAGGAACCCAGGTACTTGAGCTGTGTCCTGCTGCCTGTCCTGGTGCACAAAGCAGGAAGCTGAACTTGGGAGCAGAGCCAGGACTAAGTCCAGGCACTCCGACTAGGGGATGTTGTGTCCCCAGTGGTGTCATAACCAAGTGTCAAGTGCCCGTCCCCTCTTCCCACTTTTCTTGAAACGTCTTTGCCACAAAGGTTTGGCTATTAGTTGTTCTTGCTTAGTTAACTTTTTTTTATACTGTGGTAAAATATACATAACAGAAAATTTATCGTTATTTATTCTCTTAACCACTTTTAAATATGCAAATCAGTGGCATTAATTACATTCGTATTGGTGTACAACCATTGCCACCATCCATTTTGGAAACTTTTCAGTTTTCCCAAACTGAAGCTGAGTACCAGCTAAAGAGTAGCCTCTCATTCTTCCTTCCTTCCCAGCTCACACCCTGGCAGCTGCCTTTCTGTTTCTAGTCTGTTATGTGACTACTGTACTTACTTCTTAAGTGAAATCATGGAATTTTTCTTTTTTTAAAGATTGGCTTTATTTATTTGAAAGGCAGAGTGACATACAGAGAGAAACAGAGAGAAAGAGAGAGATATCTTCCATCTGCTTTTTCATTCCCCAGATGACTACGCTGGCCAGTTTGGGCCAGGCTGAAGCCAGGAGCCTGGAACGCCATCCTGTCTTTGGAGCAGCCGGGACTTGAACTGGCACTCTAATACAGGGTGCCCAGCATCAAAGGCTGTGGCTTAACCTGCTGTACCACAATGCTGGCTTCTGGCCACCCATGTGAGAGACCTGGATGGAGTGCCAGGCTCCTGGCTTCAGTCTGGGCCAGGGGAGTGAACCAGTACTCTCTCTATCCTGTCTTTCTCTCTACCTCTGTCACTCTGCCTTTCAATAAAATAAATCTCTTAAAAAAAAAAAGTTTATTTTCATTTACTTGAAAGGCAGAGCATCAGAGAGAGCATACATGAGAGAGCATGCAGCCTTAATTGGCCACTGGTTCAC